TCTGATTTCTTGTAATTAGCTACCCTGCATTCTGGCTTCTACTTCTTTCTCTTTCATGACTCTTAGTGAGACCTGAATAATACTTGGCTAGTAGCAATTTCCTCACTAGTGAAGCTTCCTGTCCTTGCTGTGGTCAAGACTGAAGTTACACCTCACTAAGCATTTTCCACTTTGAAGCGGTACTTGACTTTGCGCATCTCTGGAACACTGCCATCTGGGGAAGCCTGTCACTTCCCACTGTGTTAAGGGCACAGAATAGCAGCATATCTTTATTCTTAAACAAGTGCTCTAGGAGCAAACTGAATACTACCTCACTGATCTGGCATCACAGAAGAAATGAGTGACATGGGAGCATCTGGCATTACCTGGTCAGGCTTCAGTGCGTTGGTTTAGGTATAGGATTGCCACTAAAGTAGGTCTTAAAATGCTGGCTTCAGTACCTGCTCACCAGTAGTGTTATTGATCAGGATGACTTCTCCAGATACCTATTTTACTGGGGGAGGAATCCAAACATTTCTATTCTTACAGGATTGGGTAGCTATGTCTGAATTGCAAGGTTTGCTATAGCACTTCTCATGGAAATACTAAAGCAGCAAGTTGTGTGCACTATGACTTGAGCTGGAAGTCTTTTGACTAGCCTCCTGAGGAAGCTAAGAGCGTCACACCAGCACTCTTTTCCAAGAAGTTAATGTGCTTGGAAACAAACCACAGCCAGTTTTATTCTTGCATTATAGGGTAAGATTATCTTTCAGTTTTATTTGCAAGATACTTCCAGGAGCTGGGAATGGGAGCTAAGAAAAGCAAATCTGTCATATGGGATTTAATTACTTCGTTATACATGGGTCTTCACTTTTATAAGAAAAATCTTAAGTCTGAAAACCAGTGTTTTCAGTAGTATCATCAGCATGTAACACAACAGCACTGAATCATTAGAATAAGACATAATAGTTAGTTGCATTTTTTCAGGCACTAAAATGGGAGTGATTGAGTGCTGGAATAAGCTCCCCTAGAGATAATTAACTTCAGGCTTAACTGGACAAGACCTTGAACAACTTGAAGCTCTGTAATTACCCTTGCTGTGAGCCGGAGGCTGGACTGGAAGACTTACAGAGGTCACAGGCAAACCAAAGTTTCCCTGTGATTCTTTGATTTGAGCAGCACAAACAGTTGTTAGCTGTACGTGAAGACTTGGAGATTGTTACCTCGACAGGGGATTCTGAAGAGCTACCTAGAGTGATGGTTCTGTCTTGTTATCTGATGTGCCGCTGGCTGTTGGCTTGCTTTACAGTTTTTGAGACACACCGAGTTACTCTGAGTCATTAATTTGACAGGCTGCTGCAGCAAGTGTTCATACCAGAAGCTGATCAAAGTGCACAGATAGCTGTTGCCCAGCTGGAAGCCCTCAGTGGCTGGTGTGATCACATTCTGCAGGTGTGCAGTGACTAGTTGTGGCCATCTTTTGCAGGCAGCAGGTGCTTTCACGAGCCTTGTGCAGGTGTCGCGTATCCTGCCGCGTGTCCAGGGGTGAGTCCAGCTCTGCCACAGAGACACCCAGTGTACAGCTGACACCACCAGGCTTACTGCTTCAGAGCTAATTAGTTGTTGGGGTGTGACAGCTCTCTGGAATCAATGGCATGTCCTCCTGCAGAGTGCTGCCTGTGGAATGAGTAAAGGGAACCAAAGAAGGTTGAGTCTTCTCTTGTGCGTTCAGTTGGTCAGCTAACTTCTTGTTTCCTGTGCACCTTTTCCAAGTGTGTAGGTATATAAAAAAGACAGTTCTCACCAAAAGTGTTGAGCACAGCAGTAATATTAGCTTCAGGGTCTTTCTACTAAAAATAGAGTAGTAACTTTGGGTTTTAAGTAACAGATGCTTACTGAAACTCAGGAAAAAAAATGCAGTATTAATTACTTTGAGGATTTAGTGGCACTCCCATTCGATTCTACCTGTGAAGTCAGTGGCATGACTTACTGTGAAGAAATAGTTATGTACAGCTTTAAAGAACCTATGCTTTAAAATGCAACATTATCTTCAAGAGTGGTGTGCAAAACCAAGCTATATATATTAATTGGCTTCAACAGGCATTGAATGTGAATTCAGAAAATACTGTTGAATGTTTAAATTGTAGTATTTGCATAAATATTTACAGATGCTGCAGTTCTGCAGTTAAAATTGAAAAATAACCAATTTGTGAGGCTTGGATTTACAGTGAGTATCAATGGGTAGAAGAGTAGGGACTGAAGTAAAATGAAGTGGATTTAGTCATCTTACTACCTAAAATGCAGCTTTTGTTTTTTGCTTTATTATTCATTTAATTAAAAAAAAAAAAAAAATTGTAATAATGGAATTCATGACTGTGTTCTAACATGTGAAAACCTCATTGCAGTCCATCAACATTAGGAATTTGCACAACGCTAATTTTGGTAACGTTTAAATGTAATTGAGCTCTAGACTTGGTAGGCCCTGAAAGAACACCTTCATTAGATTGAGTGAAATTGTTCTCTAGCTTGCAAATTAAGCTAAACTAGAGTTTTCTATGCTTGTGCAGAATGAGAAGACAGTGTTTTAGGGTAATACCCTGTCTGTGTTAACAGGAGCTTGCTGATTCAAGGCGTTCTACACAGATCTTGGTGGGTTTGCTGAGATAATCCAGTTGGTGCTTTTGCTGCCAGATGGACAGAATGAAAATGTCATGAACCCTTTTCTGAAACAGATTGTCCTTCTGCACTTTGAATTCAGGGTGCATAAATTGGTGCTGAAGCCACCTATTTCCCCGGGTAGTCTTGTTGGGAGGAGGCTAGTGGAGTCACATTTGTTTGGGAGGTTTGAGAATGCTTCTTGTAGGGGCATTGGGATAATTCCTTTGGTGGAATGTGATGCCTTCTTGATCGCAGCTGTAAATCAACCAGCTTTCACTTCTTCTTGTTCTTTTGAGCCTCCAACACTATTAATTAAAAAATTAGATGAAATTTTGGAAATGGGAGAAAAGGCTGTTGGATCTGAACAAAATCTTGCCAGCTGTGCCCAAAGCGAAGCCTTTGTCAGTTGCAATATAAGGTAAAAGTAACATCTGTTACACCTGCAACATCTGTCGTCATACTGGCTTGCTGCAGTATCACGGCTAATTCAAGTTTCCTTTTTCCTCACCTGGCAAGTCAAGATTAATTTATATTACTCTGTATGCTCTAGGGGCAATAAGCCTTGCTTTACACCCAAAGAGGTGACTGAAAAGTGATTAGTTTTCCAGAGGAGTTAAGGAAAACCTAATATGGAGCCTGTTACTCAAGGTGGATATTAGGAACATATTCTCTGAAAGAATGGTCAGGTGCTGGAATGGGCTGCTCGGGTAGATGGGGGAGTCACCATCCTTGGAGGTGTTCAAGAAACATTTTAGATGGTGTGCAAAGGGACATGGTTTAGTGGGAAATATTGGTTGTATGTGGATGATCTTGAAGGTCTTTTCCAATCTTGGCAATTATATGATTCAGACCAGATACCACCTTCCAGGAAAGTTCTGGGAACTGAAATGGATGCATGAAAACATCATCTTACTGTCCCTTAGTTGAAAAAGAAATAAAACACTTTGATTTTCAGGGAAAATAGGAGGCAATTACTGTGATATTTTGTTGAACAAATTAAGAAACTAGGTATAGTTACATACATTCTAAGACTCATCCCTACTCTAAGAAGAATGTATGTATTAGGATGCATGTGAAAGTCAAGAGTAATGAGAGTAGAGATTGATTTTTCTGTTATGAATTTTTTGTCATTTAATATTTAGTGATATTTAATATTAATTTAATATTAATTCTATAAAAACAGGGAAGTAAACGCTATGAGAGAATAGTTAGAAAAGTATTCACAGCATGAAGAGTCAACTAAGGAACACTGGCACTGTCTCCTGGTATTAGAACTAGAAGGGACAGTCAACTAAAACAAGCAGGTGGTGATCTTTTTAAATCAAAGGAGCTGGTTCTTCACAAAGTACAGAAGTGAACAGTGAATTACAGTCCTATACACCATTGCAGTGTCCAGAAATTCACATGGATTCAAAGAGCGATGAGAAATTCATTAAGGGAAAACATGCTGGTTGAGGAGGGCTTTGAGCTTCAGCCTGCCTTGCTATGGGAGTACATTCCCCTTGTGTAGTGGTGTACTGCTGTATTCTTTCCTAGGCCTCTGCTACTGTTAGAATGTAGATCCTGGGTTGGATAGCCTCTGGCCTCTGTAGCATTACAGAGGCATTAATTTCTCATCCTTTTTGGTGAGAACTGGCTACAGAATAAATACTGTTCTTTAGAGGCTCCAATTTTCATTCCCTTTTAACCCTATAACAGTAGAATACAAGTTATGTAAGTGCTAGAAAGTAAGTTCAGGAACGTTCCCAGGCACTGAAGGAATCTGGTGTAGAATAATCTTAGTCTCTTAATAAAGTCTCTCGATTTAAAAATGGGGTTATTTCACGTTGCCAGCTGGGAAAGATTCGCATCCTTACGCATTCTCAAATCACGTCCAAGAATGTTAGGATGCTTGTTGGCATAGGCCGGAACCATGCCAGAGACCATTTTAACAATTAAGCAATATAAACAGTTGCATTCCAATACCTAGGAGTGTTTCCAGGCATTGCAATTTGTAGTTCCAGCTTGAATATTGCATTCTATTCAGTTTGAAGTACTGAACAGAAAAATTTAGTAGCACAGTAGGACTTCTGTGTGACAGCCATAGTTCGTGTTCTGCCTCTTACAGGCACATTCTTTTTACTGATTTTTATGATCAAGGACAAAATGTTCCATTAGATTTCTAAGCCACCTAAATCTTGGAGGGGAGGGGGGACAGCACGGACATAGTTTGGGTTCATTGTAACTTGCCTGTCTTATTACCAGGAAAATCATCACAGTTGCTGCCTAGAATGAGGAACAAAATTAAAAATTGCTTTGCTAAAAGGTGAAATGTAAAATCTGTGGCTTTTACTTTAGAAATAATCACTTGTTTTCTTTTCTAGACGATGTCTTCAGCTGTTGTTCAAATATATGCAGCAGATCGCAATGCCATGTGGTCAAAGAAATGCTGTGGTGTAGCTTGCCTTGTAAAGGACAATCCTCAGAGGTCATATTTTATCAGAATATATGACATTAAGGTAAGTTTTTCCTTTTCAGACTTTGTTCTATTCGTTCTCCATTTTGAATTGAATGATTTTAGGTGATTGCAGTTGCACTCTTGTACAGAAATCCTCAAATAAATGGCTGTTGTGAGCAGAGCACTGACTGCCTATTAATAGGCTTCACAGCTTTCTTACATTCCGAATTTGAATTATTTCATGGATATTATTTCATAGATATTTCATAATATAGATATTTGATCTCTTACAGATCAAATAAAGATCAGATACAATTTTCTTATAGCTTGCAGAAGTAGTTCTCTGCTAATCAGATTTGTGAGACTAGTGAAAATTCACGTAGTGTCACTGATACAGTTAGCTGTGATAATTTTAGCAGGTACTGCTAGCATTAGTACTTTGGCTTGTAGTAAAAAAAAGATGCTGTGTTCTGTAGGGATGAAAACAAGAATCTTTTTTTTTTATGGTTAACATGTTTGTGCATATGAAAACTTCAGAGTAAATATATTTATTTAATATAATTTCCCACAATATGTAGTTTCATATGGAGACCTCTGTCCTATTCTATTATTTCTCTCAGGACAATGGGAGCTAGGAGCTTACGTGTTCCAAGATGCATTTCCTTAATAAAATAATAACACTGTAAAAAATATCCTACTGACTTCCCATTCCTTCTTTAGCTAAGAGCAGCTCAGTACCTGTCAGCATCTACTCTCTGAAGTCATTCAGGAAAGCCAATTGGCAGTTGCATTTGTGATTTGGTCAATTTATTAGACTTGGTGAGAAACCTGTTACTTGGGTGCTAATCCATAATTCCATTTAAATATCTAGAAGATCTGAAAGTGAGGTTTTTGCTCCCTTGAAATTCACTTTTTTTCAGGTCAATCTTGAAAAGGTAACGCTGGTGGAGGTCTCCTTTGTTTTTACTCCTATTAACACTATTTCACTGCTATCACTGGTCAGTACTAATGCTACCAGTATAACTATTGCAGGATTATGGAACTTCAAGTATGTTTTTTAAAATATGGAAGAATTAGAACAGAAGGGAGAATGATGAAATAGTCTAATTTCTCCACATGTTCCAATATACTTGGACTGAGTTCACTCTTGGGTAAATGGCAAATGCTTAACAATATGCAGCTTCAAACTCTTGATAAGTTCTATTATGAAAAAAGCTAAACTACAGTTTGTTTCCAAGTGTTTCAAACTTACGTTGTTTTGCCTTTTTTTTTTTTCCAGGATGGAAAATTATTGTGGGAGCAGGAGCTGTACAATAACTTTGTATATAATAGTCCTAGAGGATATTTTCATACCTTCGCTGGAGATGTGAGTCTCAGCATCTTTGAATACCTACCTTAGAATGCCTTTTATTTAAATGGTAGCTTCTAATAATATAATCAAGATTTCCATTTCATTCTGTAAATTATTTAAGTGCCGTATCACTTGTCCTTTTATACTTATCGGAAGAACTTTGGATTTCAGCTAGAAAAATCAATCCATTAAAGAAGTACCTTTTACATTTCTGTTTTATTCCAACTCCCATTAATAGTGAAATTGTTTTGACTTAGGTGATATTTACGATGATCAAATAAATTTTCCTTCCTTCACGTTTGATTTCAAGCTGCAGGATTTTCCTCAAATTTGTTAGAGTATGAGCTGTAGAAATCTGACTGGGAGGCTGACTTCCTTAGTTTAGAATGTTTCACGCTGAGCTGTGTTCTTCCAGACTTACAATGGTGATTTTTTTTTTTCTGATTATATCTTCAGAAGTGTAAGAAAACATGTAAGAAGAAAGTCTTTGTAACACTTTCTTAGTCATGGGTGGGGGGATGTATTTTTTTTTTTTTTTAGACATGTCAAGTTGGTCTTAACTTTGCTAATGAAGAAGAGGCGAAACTATTCCGCAAAACAGTAACAGATTTACTTGGACGACGGCAGAGAAAATCTGGTAAATATTCAGATTAATCTTAAATTTGGGACTGTTTCTGTTTTTCTGAGGGGAGGCGAGAAATTATTTGTGTCTGAAAATGGCTGGAAGGTTTTCCTGCCATTTATATTTGTATTTATATTTATTTATATTTAGAAGTAATTGTGTTACAAAAGTATAATTCATCTCTGTTGTGCAAAAATATCTTTTCTGAAATAGCTTGATGCTTCTCTTGCTGTAAGTTTCCTAGTAAGCTGCGGCTCGAAGAATGCGGTGTTTGAACATACAGAACAGAAAGGGTAAATAACCTATCAGTGGGAAAACAAGAAATCTTCCCGTAAGCTGTTTTCACATTTGACTAAACCCTACTTTAGCTCTGGGCTGTTTGCGCTGAATTTGTTTAAATTCAGCCCAAGTGGGTTGTAACAAAGATTTTTACCATCTGGTATGTTCAGTAGTCCATGTGAATGAATTATTGGCATTGGTCCAGCGCTCAGTAGAAAAATATCTTTTATTCAAAACTAATAATCTTGATAAGACACAATGTACCTAAATTGTCCTTAGCAGTCAGAAGCACAGTGTGCGTTTTGCCAGTTTCAGGAATGCCTCAGGAACATAATCAGTGTTTCATAGGGAGCTCAGGCTTCCTCCAGATCTTCTCTTGGTTGTTTTCCATTGAACTCATAAACAACTTGCTTGTCTGACGTTCATATGACCATGAAGAGTGAGGTGATTAAAAAAAAAACACAGGTTTGATGCATGTGGATGGGATCAGGCTTGCAATCAGCTGTAGCATGTCTCAGCTACAAGATACTTTTCTGTTGTCTGTTTTAGGATTGAATTGTGCTAGCAGTGCAGCATAAACTTTTGTAAAGGGAGGAATCCCTTCGACTAGCATCCTTACAAGTATTTCATTCAGGTGAAGTGGCTCAAGCACAGAGCGTTTGTTCCAAACCTTGGTTTGCTTGTTTAAGACCATCTCTGCTTAGAATATGTTTACAGGATTTTTGAAGAGGTGGCATTAGTGTGTGACATTACTGGAGTAAAAGTAATCTTGTATTAGCTTGCATCTCCTGTTCTTGAAATTTCATGCAATTACACTTCTAAAACACAGCACTGCAGTGCACTGTGACTTGGAAGAAGGCAAATACATATTTGCGTTCTTGGCCACAGCAAAGTTTGTTTGAGAACAGTGGTTCAAGCAAACCTCCTGTTCACAAGAGGTTCTGCATGGAGATTTTCTTGTTTCATCTTTGAGCAAGTAGTATTGGCTTGTGTGCTCAAGTTCATGCCATAGGATGAGTTCACTCCTTGCACTCTTTAGTGTTTCTTAAAGGTAAATAACTTTATCCCCAAAAGCTTATAACTTGAAAACAACTTTAATTTATATATATATATATATATATATATATATATATTTATATATATATATATATATATATATATATAAAAATTAAAATTTATATATATATATATAAATATATATTATATATTTTATAATTATATATTATATAATTTTATAATTATATATATATATATAACAACTGATTTTTTTAGTTAAGCCACCAGATGGAGTTGTGTATTCGTCATTGATAGGACAATATCTGGTTGTGCTTATGTAATAACAGGCTTTGCATTTGCCTGAATCAAAACTGATTTGTTGATGGAGTGTGTGTATGTATTTAGTTTTATCTAAATGCCTATATAAAAATAGATAATATGTATAACATACATCATTTAGGCTGTGCACATTTTCATATAAATTATTTTTATTAGATATAAATTGTGTGCATGTATCTAACACATTGTAACTTCTAAAGCTGAGGTAATAATTTGGCTTTCTAACTTTTTTTTTTCCTGTTTAATGGGATTTTTACTCCCATTCCTTCCAAAATGTGTCATTTCATAGTAGTGACACCTGACATGCTTTCTAGTGAAATAAGTACTCTGTGGCATCACTTTGCAAGCCCTGAATGGCTTAGCAGGCTGCTAGGAGAATTTCTAGGAGTATTATGGAAAGCTCATGTTATTGGAAGGTAACAAGAACAGCAATTCTGCCTCAGGAGAGCTGTGTCTGTATGCTGACACAACTGTACCAAAGGTCATCAAACAGCTGTAAGAAAAGGCAGCAGTATTCTGCTCTTCCTCTCTTGGAATGAAATGTGTTCCGGTATACAGGAACTCCTGAGTCAGTGTATCTGGAGCTCTAGAGGTGAAAATATGGGTTCAAGTAGAATGTGTAAGACTTTACAAATACTAAATATTCTATAGAGGGGTAGAATGAGGGAGAAAGGGCAGAGAAAGAATTCTTTATGCAAGATCCTCATCTTTTTAATGTCAGGCTGATTTTCATCTAGTTGAATTCTGATTAAAATAAAATCAAGTTCTTAGCCTTAGATTAGGAAGAAATTAGAATAATTAGTTAATTTCTCTAGTATACTTACTTCAATGAGTCTCTCCATTTACTACTTCAGCAGACCCCGAATAGCAGGGTGAGCAATGTTTCTCCGCTCTGCGAGCACAGTACATTCATACTTCTGGTATACCTTAGTGTTCATACCATTAATTTTATGTTTATCATCTTGCCTTCTGAATGCTAACATATGTAAACACACAAGTATCCTCTCCTGTACTGAGAGAACTTTGCCTGATTCCTAAATGCCTTTCAAAAGCAGGTTTCAATTTTTGTCGAACTTTTACAAGCTTGTAGCTCATGGCTTGGAGCTTCTTCCAGCCTTCTGAAAGCATCTGCTTCTCCAACAAGCTTTTAGCTCCTGTTTCCCCTGCTAGTGCACTTTGAGCTGAATACTGAATGCAAACGAGTTTTTACTTGTTTGCTTGCTTTTTACATGCGGATAAGAGCATTTTCTTAGACATGGGCAGCTGGTGAAGTTGATCAGTAGATATCTCCATCTTCAGTCAGACCTCTTGACAGGTTACCAGCATTTCGGAAGAGGAGCTGTTATTTCTAGTCTGCAGTGGAAACAGCAGAAAAACAAATCCAGTGTCTTTTGGCCACAATTATTCTTATCTGTACCCAGCAAAAATTGCAGGAAGTGTTTAAAATGTGTTGTTTTGTTCTCCAGTGTTTTATCTCTTGAGCTCTTTCTCCTCATGAAAACTATAATAGTTACCATGATTTGGCGCAAAGCCACTCAACGTTTCCTACTAATGCCTACTGCTTTTGCCAGTTTCCCATTCTTTGCTAAATGACCTGCCATCAATCCTGTGCTTTCCTTTTCTGCTGTTGATACTTCTTGGATAGGACTGTGATTAGGCTCCAGAAGTTAAGCAGGCTTTTTCAAATTCCAACAAAAGAGTTTTCTTAGCCTGAATATTCAAAGAAGAGAATGTGTCTGGAAAACACTATGGGTTAGCAGTTTTTCTGAAACTTGTGAAGTGGAATCTGTTACAAATTCATTTTAAGCTCTTAGGGGAGGCCCTACTAGATTCAAGACCTGAAAGGAATGTAGTGTTTTCCATATAGAGCCGTGGTTTTTGACGAGATGAGGTGATAAACTGTCAAAAGTCTTCTGAATGTCTGTGTAGGTACACAAATAGTGTATGTGCAGCTGTGTACTGGTTTTGTTCAGCTGTGTACTAGTTTTTGCTCTAGACTGCTTTGAAGAAAGATTGCAGGATTGGTAAATCCTGTTTGAAGTGGATAGAAATGAATACTAAGTGAGGGAAGGCTCCTTCAAAGAAGAATTTACTGTTACAGGCTGAGAGCACTGAGGTATGAAATGCCTACAAATACATCTTAAATTGTCAAGCCAAATTCTTCATGGTCTTTGAAACGGTGTGGCTTTGTGAATAAAATATCAGCGTAAGGATATCTGAGTTGTGTTCCATGTTGTTACTTTTCAGTAACAGGGGAAGTGTTTTGCTCCTGTGTATCCTAGTGTCTTCACGCTAACAAAAATAATTGTGAAGTACAGATGCTTTTGTGGAAGAACTTTACTGTATCAAAATGTTCATTGTATTTCCACATAAAGCAAATAAAGTGAAAATCGTAAAGCATAACACTTTAAAGAAAAAAAAATCTTAACTTTGCTGGGTTGTACCAAAACAGCTTCTTTTTGAATACTTCACCTTAGTTTGGAGTCAAAGTATATGAAACAAACTCAGTGGCTATTTCCTACTTCACATCAACACACATGATCTAAAATGGGTTTTTACAGGTCTCTAATGCTTAACGTATTTTTCCAACTGTTCAACAGGTAGGCTTTAAAGATGTTTATAGGTTAAATCCTGTATGTTTATAGGTTCAGGATCACTGAAAGTGTCAAGGGAAAGCAAAGTCTAGAATGTATTTCTGTTGTGATATCTATGAATAATAACTCTTTTTCTTTTTCAACAGAAAAAAGACGAGATCCACCCAATGGTAAGTTTTTTGCACGAACCACTGCATTTTAATTTTTCCTGCTACTGTCAATTATGGCTTGTATGTAGCTTTGTTTTGGACTTGTTCAGGATAGTCATGTGGTAGCAGAAGCAGTAAACTCATATTCTGGAGGTTACTATATTTGTTTTGTTTCTGTTCTTTGGTGTTTGTTTAGTTGTAGTTGGAAGATTTGTGGCTTTTTAGCTGGCGTTTGCAAAGAATGTTTTTGGAGAGGGTTATGATTTTCTGTGAATAGGACAGAGGCCCTTCAGCTGAAGCTGTGAAGAAGGCTTTGTACCTTTCATTTGCTGCTTAGCCTTCAAAACATACCTGTGAAGGGTAACTATACAAAACTTAGCTGAAATTAAAAGGTAGGCTGTTTTTTTCTAAAGGTAGGCATGGTCATGACAGTTTTCATAAAATATCTATAAAATTTTAACTACTGATTCTGACTGACCTTATTGCATAGCCTTCTGGTAATATGTCGTATGCTTGTAAATGTTGATCTTTTTTCCATGAGAATGATTATGATTAGAATATTTGAATGTATTTGCCTTGCATTTCACTGACATGAAGAAACAGATTTTTCAGGACATCCTGATGAAATTTACAGAAGTAAAAAGAATGTATTGGTGTGATCCCAAAATTTTACCATCTTTTCTTGAGAGCAAGAGAGAGATGCTCATCAATTAATATTGGAGTCTTTGATCTAATTATGCTTCCAGCCTGAAACTAAAAAGAGACTTCTCCCATAGTATTTCAACTAATGCCTGATAGGTTGCTGTTTGAGCAGGGATATCACCAACTAACCATGTAGGGACCCAGAACCCTGTACTGCCTGAGGAGATCTGATTTTTGGGTGGTCCTGTGTGGAGCCAGGAGGTGAATCAGTGATCCTTATGTGTCTCTTCCAACTTGGGATTTTCTGTGATTCCAGTCTTGGATTTGTTCTAACTGAGACATCTAAACACCTCAGTCAGTCACCAAAATAGATAATCCTGAACTAATCCTTATGGGAACTACAGGTGTCCTGTATATCCCTCATGCAGAATACTTCTCAAAGAATGAACATGCCTTTTTTCATACATATTACATTCTGAGAAACTTTGGTCAGTAATCAGTTTAGTCCAGACTTTTTTTTTTGTGTCCCTTCATTCAACAAAGACTGGCTTCTTAGTTCTGAAACAATTGTACTCATACCAACCTGTGATTATCTAATAGCTACTCTGAGCTATAGGAATGTTTTAATTGTTCATTGTCTTGAGCAACATCTGTTTTCTCTCACCTAAAAAGTTCTTTCCTGATAGCAGCATAAAGGAAGAAAAACAGTGATGGTGATGATATAGTGCCACCTACTACAGCAAATTTAGCCTTGGAGTCTCTACTCTAAGAGCTGACCATCAGAAATGCAAGCAGTTTATTTTCTGGTGGTGATTGGAATAAAGGAAACTAAACTTGTAAAAATTCCATGCCTAAAACAGTCTCAATAATTCATCCAGTCAGACCTTTGCCAACAAAGTGTTTTTGAATAAAAAATTCAGTACTCAACTTGCATTCATTGATCTTCCCAGTTTATCCTGAATATTTTTTGAAAGACACAGAATATTCACAAGTTTGCTTGGTGTTTCAGGTTTGTAATCACTATTCAAAGCTCTCTGTGTTTCAGTAGAATGTTCTTGCTGGGACATCCTCTGCTGTTTTATGATCTGCCTACCTTCCTTTTCTGATGCTGTAAAGTGCTCTAATGCCAGGCTTCTGTGCTGGCACTTCACTTGGTGTTCATGGCCTCTTTAGCATCGGGTGAGACATGCTGAGGGCACAGGTCATAGCCTCAGTTGGTTCTGGCCTACATGCAGCTCATTGGACCAGGTTACAGAGATGTGTACTATCCACGTATAACTGGAGGGGTGGGAAAAAAAGCCCATCTGTTATAAGGGCAGATGTTTTTTCTTTTATTCTCCATATGCAGTGAAATACTACTAGGGGGAAAAAAAATTGAGGAGTCTGCTTTTGTTCTATATATCAGTATGAATATATCAGTTAAAACTGAACAAAAAAAGAACAGTCACATTTATGTGCTCCTATAATCCGTGCTTTGAAGTGCTGTGGGGAATTTTATTCTCATGGTGCTTTTCTGCCTGGACGTTCTGTATATGTTGAAATAAATGGGGAGTTGCCCAGAAAAACACTCTTATTTTTTGTATGATGTTTTCAATGGTACAGATTTAAGACTTTTTTTTTTTTTTTTTAGAATTGCAGGATTAAAATCAAATTGGCATTAAGAGTTATGTAAAATGTATTAGCCTGTAATTTCCTGGGATTTATGTTCTACTCATTTGTTATAACTAGGTCTCTTCTTGCAAATAAAGAGGACTTACTGTGGTTGAACCAACCTCGCAGTGAAGTTCTGGATGAAATAAGCATTTGTCAGAGATCAGGTTTTGAGAGGATCTTTAAGAACCGTGTGGAAAAATTTTGTTTCAGCTGTTAAATAGTTTGCATTTATTGTAGAGCTGTCTGTAGTCTGAGACAGATGTCCAGAGAGGTTCTGAAATCAGAAGAATTTCCTTAGACATTCTATTTCAAAATGTTCTGTACCACATTTTCTGGAGCCCCCTCTGAAGATGTCACAGATGCTGATGTCATTGGATGCCTGAGGCCACTGTACTGTCAAGTACTTCCTAATGATGAGCTTTATATGCCTCTCTCATCTTCACTTATTGAGCTGTCTACACCTGACGGGGAAAGTGCATGTGTTTTGATGGGAAAAATTTTGTTGGATATAAATATGGCAGTTCTAGAAGAAGACATTTCTTTCCAGAGTTCTTTTATCCCTCGTGGGAATCTAAGGTCTAAGCCTGATGGTAAGAATAACTTTAATCTAGAGGAATTTACTGTGATCTCTGGTGTGAATGTTAATATCAAAGAATTCGGTATCCATCCTTAATTTGAGCTCAGCTGAATAAAATTTCATTTTGCAAATGGATGCTGCTTTGCACTTGTTAGAACCAGTTCCATTCAGAACCAGTTCCATTTAGTTTTGAGTTTTACATGGATAAAGGTACATTTTCAAGGGCTAAACAAGGACTGAGTTGAAAAGGATATAAAACAGTGGCAAGCAGTGTTCAGTGCAAGGGTATGTATTTCTTCTTGAATGTCAGTATAGCCTTTGAAAAACTACAAATATAATTGTCTTAGGGAGAAGGTTTGATATTGGTAAATAAAGTGAATATGAATTCCTGTAGTATTTTTTTTCTTTTTGAATTTAAATGAAATTTAAACCCTAATTTTGCAGTTTATCCTGCAGGTTTACTTAACCTAACGTGAAGTTCTGGCTTGATAATATTTAACAGTCAGTCAAGTTAGTGCAAACTTTAAGTGTAATTTTTACAACAAAGTGGTGCATAGATATGAGTGGTCAGTTAGTAGTTTTGCATTCTGTCAGAGGACAGCTGCCTACATCAGAGTCTCTCTCAAAGCATTTCTGCATAGCAGAAAAGATTAGAGAAATTTTGTTCTGCATTTCACATGCAATTTCACAAACTTGTCCTCTAAGACTGCCAGGGGAATGTAGGAGTTGTCATATGCTTTAAAATGAGTTTTGTCTAACCCAGTATCTTGTTTCTGTTTGTGTTTCATAGTCTGGCTATTACTAGATGCTTCCCCTTGAAGTGTTACGTTGCAAATGTCAGATAATTTATCTGTCATATTGTCTGCTTCTTTTCAGGCTGTGAAAGCAGCTTGTTGGTCTTTCTGGAATGCCTAGGATAACTGAATAATCCATATAAAACACGCTTACACAAAAATAATATCAAACTAAGGTTCTGATTCTCTTAACTCTGTGGGGTGTTCTTCTATCATGCCCAGTAAAGCTGGATGTGTGAATCGTGTTCTCGTTGATTGGCTAACCAGTACTGACTCACTGGTATGCTTTTCAAACTGGCCCTGGCCAAACTGCTCTTAGATAGACTTGCTTGGTTTCATCTGTGGAAGAATGAGATTATTTATTCTTTTAGTAGGTTTCTTTGAATATACACATATATGCACATACACACACATGAAAAAGGAATAGATTGCCCCATAGTGTTTAATTCTCACTTATGTAAGAAAAGTTACCTTCTGTAAAAAAAACTGTGGAAAATGCCCTAGGGGTGTTTATATGCTGTTATTCCAAAAGTAACACAATACTGGAACGTTAAAATTGGCTGAGTGTTTGTTTACTTTGTTTCTGATGTTGCTTTTGCTATCATGAGCTTTGTTTCTCATCTGAGACTTTGATTATTTTACAAACCCATCAAAGAATAAGAAATCCTGTATAGCTCTGTCATTCCTGTCATACCTTTGAAGATGACAATGTTCCCACCTGATGCTTAATAAGCAAAGATAAAAAGCATGTACTGTGTTTCCAGGGGAATTGCACACTGAGTATTGCTGTTTGTGGCATACACTTTTTCAAATCTTGTCTGGGACGATGGTAGTTATGTTGGCACAGTGCATGGCTGTAACTTAATCCCTCATTTCAAGCGTTCTATGCATGTGTGAAAACCCTTTAATTTAGAATTAATTTATTTGCCAATTTTGCAGGAATTAAATTCTAGCTTAAGAAATTTTCTGCCATTGCTCTGCTCTAGGAACACCCTTTTTATCTTCAGCAAATGGCATTGTTGGTCATGATTCTACATCCAGAACCCAGTCAGATGCATGTAACACATACAGCTGTGGGTGCAGTACGAGCATCTAGCCACACGTATGCACAAAAATGTGTTCTTAATTAGAAGTTAAATATGGCTTTATTGAAACAGTAGTAAAAGTCCTGCTCTTTGTCTTCACAGGTCCAAATCTACCAATGGCAACTGTTGATATCAAAAACCCAGAAATTACAACTAACAGATTTTACACTCCGCAAGTCAACAATATTTCATATACCAAAGAAAAGAAGAAAGGAAAAACTAAAAAGAGAAGATTGACAAAGGCAGATATTGGAACACCATCTAACTTCCAGTAAGGACTTATTTTGGAGGTTTTGTCACTTATGCATGCGAATATGCAGGACTTACATGTGTGACTGTTACCTGTAACCTGAACTTCAGTGAATGCTAACTGGCATTCTGTGGGATTTAAAAGCAAGTTAACTTAAACACATGGAGTTCATCTGCAATAAAAAGTAACTTACTGTCTTAAAGTAACTTGATTAAGCTATATTAAGATGGCTTGCTTAAGTGGTCAGCTCAGAGTAGATTCCTATTTCTTTCAACTTCAACAGTTGACTCTTAAACTCATTATTCCTACAGCTGTGCACTCTTAGCTGTTCTGTGTCAAACAAAATACACGCATAGGTCCTTACTTTCCATAACTGCAGAAGTGGCATTAGCTGTATGATACCTGACTTTGTAAGCTTGGGTATATGGGTTCACACCCCATGTCTTGTGATGAAAGCATGCTGTGTGTATATGCTTTTTTAGGAACAGGTTGTTTTTTCTAGTATTTCATAGATATCTTTGTTCTTCTAGAATAGTTATCTGTTGTTCTAAGCTTCATTTTGAAAGTTGGTTTGGTCAGTTTACTGAGTTAACTGTTGTTGTTCTTAAATTATAATTTAAGCTTCTGCCTTTTAAAGTAAGTGCATTTATTTTGTGTATTTTCTTTGCTGTGCTAAAGCAAGCAACAGCAATTTGAAAAGCTTGAGTTAGTCCAGGAGTGACAGCCTTGATGAAGTGTTGGAAAACCAGTGTGAGGTTTATATGCCAAATGAACATCTTGTTTTTTCAAGCCATTATCTTGCACTGCTTCCACTGACATGCTTTTCCAGGATAAAATTCCATATAAGTAATGCCAGTATTAACAGTTACAGTAATGTTTTTGTAGTGTGTTGAGAGACTCCTGTTACATAGTGGACAGAAGCAAAAGGAGAGAAGCTAAAATGCATCCCTGTTCAGATTGTGCTTAAACAATTCAGACCTCGACCATCTTTCTTCCTGTCATGAGTGTTGAAGTCCTGCATCTGTTAATGTCACTTACTACTGAAAAACGAAGAATGAGAAAGAGTGAGACATAAGGAAATGTGAACAGAGATTGGTAGCTGGTCACTGTTGTGGCTGTACTGATGCAGACTTCAGCATGTGCAGATGGATTGTAGTTAATGATCTGTATTAGTTTCACTTAGCTCTGATGAGAATTCGTGGAAGGCTTGTGCAGGAGTGAAGACAAACAGGATTTGATGCTTTTGTTTATGTTTGTTGGGTTCTGACAATGGTGGAGCACTTCATGTGCATTCGTGAAATATTAAAGCAGTCATAGAAAAGCTGAGAATAAGATGATAAAATATTTAATGAAGTTCAAACAAAAGATAAATTGTATTTTATGCCAGTATTTGTCTACAGGATAACATTAAGTGTAATTTCAAATTTTATGCGGTAAACCTGCGAAAAAGAAGCTTGGAAGTCTCTTGTTCCATGTTAAGTCTAGCTCAGTTTTGGATAACATGCACCAAAGTGCCATCATGCTATGTTAAATACTTGTAATTGCTGCTATTTTGCAGATATGTATGAATTAACTCTTGGTGGTGTTCAGGGAATAAACCATTAGAATAAGTTGTTTGCAACTCGAGCTGTGATACTGGTGAAGACCAACATTCACTACTGCTCTTGGCAGGATGAAGTTGCAGTCAGCAGATAAAATGATTGAATTGCTTCTGCTAGTCAGATGTGGACATGCAGTGTTTTGAGAAACAAGCAAAACAATGAAATTATGCTTATGCTTAATGTTAGTATAGCTTGATACCCACTCTTTAGGTATTTATAAGCAGTGATGACATCTCTTTTTGTCTTCTCCAGACTGAGCAGGCCCAGATCTCTCAGCCTTTCCTCAAAAGGGAAATGCTCCAGACCTCTAATATTTTGCCACAGTAAAACTAGCAGAGGAATCTAGTTTTCCACTTTATAAAAGTGGAGAATAAAATAAAATAAAGGAAGCTTTATTCTCTTCTCCACTATGGTGCTAAAGAGTTAAAAATACTTAGTGTCTTAAGAGGCTGAAGATAGAAACTAGTAATAATGCAGTTAATTGAGTGTCCTGTTTATCTTAGATAACAAGGTCCTTTTTACTCTGATTAAGTGGACTTTTCTGCTTTTTTTTTTCTTTTTTTTCAGACACATTGGACATGTTGGTTGGGATCCAAACACAGGTTTTGATGTAAGTAATCTTAGTGTGTTGTTCAAGCTACTGAGTGATGGAAGGCTGTAAGGGCTTTGTAATGCAAATTGTGGAGATAGGCATCAAATAATTTAACTGCACATCAAAATAATTACACTTCTGTAATAAGGCACTCCAAAAATGCCTCCTATTTATTTCCATGGAAACTACAAGACATGCAAAGAACACAATACTGTTACAGGTTTTTTTCCTCACTACAAGGATGTTTTAGAAACTTCTCTGTCAAGCTCCTAAATGTATCTGACTTGCAGGTGAACAACTTGGACCCAGAACTGAAAAACTTGTTTGATCTATGTGGAATTTCAGAGGCTCAACTGAAAGACAAAGAAACTTCCAAGGCCATATATGATTTCATTGAAAAAACAGGAGGTGTGGAGGCAGTTAAAAATGAACTGCGCAGACAAGGTAGGCTTTCTTTTATTTCCATGCAAAACTTTGTATGGTGTTTTTTACCCTAGGGACTTAAATAGAAGCTGTTGATTAGAAACTTGATTATTTTTTTTTTTCTTTGAACTTTGTATTGCCTCAGATGTATTGGGTTTCGTGTTTCTTTAAGCCATACTCCATGTAAAAATGTCCGTGTGTGACCCACGAGAGTACTTTCTCCTTAAGGGTAGGAGTGGTACCTATGTCACCTAAATAATGGCTTGTAACAGTGACTGCATGCGTGCTTCAGACTGCAAAAGTTGCACGTTTGTTTATAATTTTGATCTTCATAAATTTAAACTTCAGAAGCAATATTCTTGTTGTCAGTTATAGTAGAAGTACATGAGAGGTGTGTGTGGTGCCAAGCATGTCTGCCCTGCCAGCACCGCAAAAGAGAGAGACCTGTTATAAGGTAAAACGTGTAAGCTTTTGAGCAGGAGGATCTGATTTCACTTTCTGACACAAGGAAATTCTGAAATAAGCTTTTTCTTTCCTAGTCTTCATATGTGGTCTCAGCTGATGCATTATCTACTACAGTATAACAAGTTAATCTGAATATTAGGCTGTCAGTATAGAAGTTATAAATACTTGCCTACAACACTTCTCAGGAAAAACAGAAAATGGAATAATAATGCCATTGAAATGATAGCAGTCTGGATAAATAATTTGCATAGCAGAATAGTTAAAAGTTCAGGGTACAGTGACTTTGTTACATTTATTTCTAGGGCCTCCACGTTGGAGTGGTATGTACTTGAGCTGGAATCTGAGTATATGCTTTGAAATATTCATGCTGCTGTGTGATTTCTTTCCTGGATGAGAAACGTTAATCCGCATCTTTTTTACTGCAGTGCTATAAATTATGATCACAATGTTGTACATAAATTGCAAGCAAAATTTCAATTACAATCTTTTTCAGCAACAAATCTTCAGTTTCTTTATACAATCTTAACTCTATTAAATTAATTCTATTAAAATATGTACAAAGTTCTTGATCCCAACCTGCTCATCTTGAGATTCGATTGAGAGGACTTGGCTTGGAGTCTTGTAACTAGCTTGAAATACTTCTAAAATGCCATTTTTGTTGTGTCTATTCAGGTTATGTCCACTTGCATGTATACAACTGAAAGAAATGCTGACTCATCTTTAACATGCATGATAATAATCTGCCTCTGTGCTTTTTGATAGAGGTAGATAAAAATACTCCAGTGGTTTTATCTGATTACATAATAGGTAGACTTGGCTGACGTTTGAAGTGTTTTTTTCTCAACTGAAACACATTTTCCTATTTCACTGCAAGAATTTCTGTGCTTAACTACTCACGCCACCAGGATGCTGTGCAGAGAGTTGCTGACACTTTGTTCTGCTGAGATAGAACTTTCTCTAGTTCTGATATTGATTGTTTGGTTTGGATTTTCTGGGGGCAGTGCTGTCAGCAGAAGATTTTACAGACTTCCATGTTAACAGCCATGTAGCATTTATAAAAACTAAGTTGTTCTGTTTTGCTTCTCTCATCTGTTTAGGGGGAAGGGAGAGAGGATGAGGTCATGGTGCTCCCTCCTTGCTACTCCTCCCTCTTCACTTCAGTTGAGTCCAGGCAAGCCTTCAGAAAACAAAGCAAAACTTCCTGTGGAACTGTGTTTCCACGACTGGGAGGTGGCATATTGCTTTAGATGTGATGTAAGCGAGATCTTTTGCCACAGGAAAACTTGAGCTGTGAATTCAAAATCTGCAGGCACCACAGGCTGAAGCATGGCTGTGTTGCGCATCGTTTGTGAGTTGCAGAGAAACTCTCTGTATTGCTTGCAGAGTAAGTTGTGTTTGAAAATACTGCCCTCCGATGGCCAGAAAGAAAGCTACAGTCAGGATAACAAAAAAGGGGAAGGCAGTATCTTTTGTTTATTTTGTTTTTAAATCAAGAACGTTGGCAGTATTTCTCTTGTATAATACATACAGTTCGAGAGGAGATTTTTCTCCTTGCTGTGTCTTTTTTTAGGGGATGGGAAGCATAGAGAAGTTTGTGGAATTTGGGACATAATGTGTGAATTTAGAGTGGATAAGTCTGTGAGATGAGCAGGGAAGGAGGGATGAGCACTAAGGCACCAGTGCCTCGCACTCCTTCAAAATTCCCTTTTTGGGCCTTTGCTCTCTGTACTGCAATGCAGGCAGGCTGTTCTGTTCTCTGAGCATGTAACAGAACAGAAGAAGTAAAGAAGCATCATCTAAGGATAATACCCTTTTATGCTATCAGGCATATAAAATCAAATGAGAACTTCTTAATAATCCAGGTGCTGTCTTATGACGCAGTGGTAATGGGCAGCAACCACAACTTACATTACCACAATGGTAACGTGGTAATGACTTGATGGAAGAGGAAATAAAGCTGTTATTTAAAATGCCATTAGCAAAGCAAGCACATTTGAAGGGCGCATGATATAGAAGTGATGCTCTGTGTTGAAGTAGCCCTGCATTACTTTCTAAAGTCCCTTCCACAAAGATGTTGTTGAAACTAATTTTGAATAAAGGGACGAAGAGTTTATTTACAGAGGTTTTGAACTTTTGGGAGGGAGTGGGAGGATTTCATATCATTCACTCATATTTTTCAAGCCTAGGGCTCACAGCATCTGCTATTGGCAAATAAAGATTGAGCAAAAGTATATTTGCCACTGGTTGCCAGTTTTTTCAAGGTCGGTTTGTCCATGTGCCCAGAATTCTCATACAGTTAGAGAACTATAAAAAAGATCGTTCTCAGATGATAGTTCGGTAGTTTAAAATGTAAAAAAAATGTCTCTAAAGAGCCATCATGTTACATTACTTCATTGCTACAAAGCAAGAGAAACTCACATTGTTAGGATAGTATTACTAAATGAGTATTAGATCATTTAGTTACTTTGCTCTTAAAAATAGGCTTATTTGCCACCCTGTAGATGGTGGCAGAAAAGAAGATAACTCTCAGTAGTTGTAAAGGTACCTTTGTTATGGTGAAGCAGTCAATGGAGAGCTTTGCAATAGCTTCTCTATCCTGTTGCCTGCAAGAGGAAACTGCTTCATTAAATTGAAGTTTTGCCCTGACCTGTCACCTTGAACTTGAAATGCTGTATCAACAGTACTGCCTCGCTGTTTGTCTTTGTAGAGGCTGCCACGTGGTGCTTAAGGATATGAAGGCATGCTGTTAAACATAGTAATGCAGTATGTTCATCTTTGTGTCCCACCTATTCCTAATTGTAGTGCATTCATATTTTTTAATGCTTCATCTTCCAGTAGCAGAAACTTTGCATCTTATTCCCTAATCAAATAATGAATTGTTTGTAAAGTGGAAATCCTGTATTCCTTTTAAGTGTGTTTTATAAAACCCGCTCCCCTTGCCTTCTGTCCTCAACGTTATCTCACAGTGTTTTGAGTTTTTTTCTACATCCTTTAGTGGGGAATTGAAACCCTGACTTTCAAGTGCACTTGTACCGTGAAGGATATTCCTAGCATAGTACCAAACGAAAATGAATGACCTGGATAGTATAGTGACTTCAGTCTTTTTCTGTACTGCACTTGCTCCCTGCAGTGTTACTGCTTTTACAAGAGTTTACAAAATAAATGACAGAGATGAGCTGTATTCAACTTAATTTGGATTCATATAAGCACAGCTTATATTCAGTGATCTTCAGCATAATCCAGGGTTGGTAAAACTTGTATGTGCACAGAGATCCTTGCAAAAACCAAGTCAAACCCTTTTTTCCTTCTTTTGCCAGTCTCTGGAGGACTTGAGAATACTAAGTAACGCAATTGTTAAATTATCTTCTGTTTCAGCTCCACCACCGCCGCCGCCGTGCAGAGGAGGACCCCCTCCGCCGCCACCACCACCTCCCCACAGCTCGGGCCCTCCTCCTCCCCCTGCTAGAGGCCGAGGGGCACCACCTCCACCTCCCTCAAGAGCCCCGATAACGGCACCTCCGCCCCCGCCTCCATCTAGACTAGGTGCCACCGTGCCCCCGCCTCCCCCCAACAGGATGTATCCTCCTCCACCACCGGTGCATTCATCCTCTGCGCCACCCGGTCCTCCTCCACCACCGCCACCACCGGTCAGCGGGTCGTCTGCTCCCCCACCGCCACCTCCTCCTCCGCCGCCTCCTGGTCCTCCTCCACCGCCAGGCCTTCCTTCAGAGGTCGATCACCAGCTTCCAGTTCCTGCAGGAAACAAAGCGGCGCTCTTAGATCAAATCAGAGAAGGAGCCCAGTTAAAGAAAGTAGAACAGAACAGTCGACCGGTGTCTTGCTCAGGAAGAGATGCGTTGTTAGACCAGATAAGACAGGGGATACAGCTCAAATCTGTAAGTAAACGTTTCTCATTTAAGCCCCCCGGGACTTGCAGATGGCTGCAGTATTGCAATATGAATAATGACTTCTGGCCGTTTTTGAAATGATGCTTGAAACATCATTTCTACTGTATAAATGATTAGAAAGTGAATTTACTATGAATGAGTAACTGATGCATGAAATTATTCTTGTTTAGAAATTTCCCACTTTTTAGTAAAGCTTGAGGCATACAGTAATGTTTGATGCCACAGTGTCATGGCTGTGAAGAACTTTTTGCAGGAACTGTCAAAGATTGGTGATGTCATGAATACTTCAGTCAAATCTACACATCTACAGAGGATGAGTTAGGCAGTAACAGTACTGGAAGGCAAACACTAGATGTTGTTTTTGTAGTACTTCAATACTGACTAACTAAACATAGTGTGGTAAAAGAATGTAATTAAACTTCATATTTCGAGGTGCATTTTTAACTTATAAAATAAATTGTAGTTTCAGTCTTCTTTGTGGCTGATAGTGAACTCATTGATTTTATAAGGTTTTTTGAGAAGCACACAGATTCTGTTTTGCTAATAGTATCAATCTAACGAGTCTCTTCTTCCAAGGTATCTGATGGCCAAGAGAGTGCACCACCTACACCTGCACCCACCTCAGGAATTGTGGGTGCATTAATGGAAGTTATGCAGAAAAGGAGCAAAGCCATTCATTCTTCAGGTAAGTCTGATGGAATTCTTCTCACTTCTGGGCATCAGGTTTTTAAGTGTTAACATCTCTACTGAAGACCAAATTTGGGGAAAAGGTATGGGTTTCCAGCATGCAGTTAATTACAGAATGCTCTAGGCAGACCACTGCTGAGTGCTTTGTGCTACTTTCAGTTACTGGTGTATAGTAGCCTTCACTTACATTGACTTTAAAATTACTAATCAAAGTTAGGGTCCTATATAAAAAAAAATTTTTACAACTGAAGTTCTTTTGGAGTTACCTGAAATACTTTTCCAAAATGTTTTGAAAAGGTTTCTCACAATGTGTTTGTAGAAGCCAGGGCTGTTTAAGAAAGTTACACTTAAAACTGTGGCTTGCTGTGTGCTTCGGATGCCACCTGCTGGGTAACAAGCAGATAACTCATGTCACTTGACCAGTCAGTCCCATTCTAGTACTGAATCACTTTTTCAATCTTTAGTGCTTGGAAAACATAAGGCTGGAAGATGATTTGCACTTCTTGTAATACCAGTTTGTAGTAAATGCAGTTCAGTAGCTGCGGTGCAGCCATTGAGGGGCATCTCTTCCCGTTGAACTTTGCTACATGTTTTTCTTTCAGAGGTGGCATTAGTACCAGATCTACCCTTGCAGTCTGTGTACCATTTGACCATTAAATGTAGTTTAGTGGTTTGGTGCCCAGTGTTGTAATCTGCATGGGTTCTTCACGCTAATTAAATCCTGGAAAGGTGCTACATACACCATTTCCTGGAAGGGAAAATGCTCTTGCCAAACAAATCACTTTATATCATTAAAAATTTGCAGCATGCAAAAACTATGAATGGAAGGCTGGATAAAGGTAACAAATCTGACGTTGAAGTTGAAGTTGTGCATTACACAATTTAGAATATTCCAGTCACCACAACAGTCCTAAGCTCACAGAAATGTTTTTATCTGCTTGTACAGTAGACAGATGATATCCTGTTACAGAAGAACCCTGAGATAGCGGTTCTTAGGTTCTAGAAATTAATCTGTCTTAAGTTTAAAATTCAATCTGGAACAAGCTGGCTGGCTCTTGCATTCTCTGAAAAGGAGTAATAGAGTGTGCAGTGAAAATTTGACTATTTCCTCTTACATCCCAAAACAATATTTTTTTCCTACAGAAAGGATAAACGTTTAACTTTCATCCATTATCAGTCTAAACTGAATGCCACGTCTAGCAACCTTGAAATATTATATTAGCAAATGTCTTGACCTCCTCAAACTGCTTGTTCTTTTGTCAGAAGGCTTTGGGAACAGTCAATAGCACTTTGTAATGAGAATTTGATGCATGCAAGCATCTTGTTTTTCCTGTTTTTCAGATGAAGATGAGGATGAAGATGATGAAGAAGACTTTGAAGATGATGATGAATGGGATGATTGATCATATATTATATTATATATATATTTTTTAAGGTGAATGATATACTAAACACTACTTTCTGTCTATGGATTCTGTAAAATTATTATGTAAATGTTCTACCAATTTGCTGTATATTTTTGTTGCCTTTTGCTTTTTTATTAATCTGTGCAATACCTCATTTAATCTGTAAAGGTTTGTCATAATCCTCTACAAAGCTACTCCCTGTTAATGTGTGCAAGTTTACACCTGAATGATCATGTACATGTGAATACTTTCCATTCCATCAGTAAGGGAGTTTAAATGTAACATGTGAGACTGACAAAAACCTTAATGTAATTTAGTTATAATGCAAGAAGGAAAACACTATTTTCATACCCTACTTTTTCTGTATCTAAATTTTCTTATTAAAACCTAGTATAGCACTATGTTCTTTAAGTGATGCAGCTCTTAGTTTATTTAGCCCCTTCATTTCAAATGCAATGCTACTTGAATGTTGAGGCTGTTTTAATACTATTGCATGGTTTCAGATACATCACAACGTTGCAGTTCAAATCTTAGCAGTATACTTTTTGTAAAACAGAATCACCACAATGCACAGCTAGTTGTGAAGATTGCCTTGCCATAACTGTAGCAATACTGACTGCTGTTGAATAGCAGGAGTAGTTGAATGCTTTAATTAGGGAACTCTCCATCAGAATTAAACAGGATGGCTTTATGTTGTGATACAGGCATCTTGGATGCAGACCGGTTCAGTCCTTTTTTTTCCTAGTTCTTGACTTTTCAGAATGAAGAAATGCAGATTACTGGGGGCTGTACTGAAGGCTCGCAATTGCTACAGTTTGATTTATTTTTAAAATCATTTTTATGTGGTTTTCAAGCTGAAGGGCTGCGTTTAATGCTTGCTTCAATAATGTTTAATTACTTTTAAAAATTTGTAGGGCATTGGTGTACTAATAAAGTAAACATAAGCGGGATTACTTTGCGGTCTTTGTGTTATGGTACATGGCAAATACTGAAACACCAGTCCTACATGCAAGAAGTTGGAAAGCCATTAACTCACAGCATACGGTTTGACGGCATACTGGAACTTCATGGCAGTATTCTGTTTTCATACGATGGCTTTAAGACCAAGGGTTGTGGTGAAAGTCAAGACCCCTACTCACAGGAGTTGTGTTTGAATAAGTGGACAAAAATGGGATTCTTACTTCACAGCTTGAACATTTATACGTTGTACTTTGTAGTGCAGTAAATATCAGCATATCTGCCTATTATAAAATACTAATCTTTGCTAAGTGGGTATTTAATATTTGCAGCATTAATTACTGTACCTACTGTAATTTTCAGGTAGAATTTTTTTTTTTTTTTAAATATACATCTGACACAGAATGTTTAGTTAAGTCAGTCATATTTGGAACATAGTTAATGCATAGTGTCTTGGGTCCTTGACTGTAGTCAAGGTATCAGACTCGATTTAAGTTATCAGAATTGTATTGACTGAAACCCAGTGACGACCTGATGTTGGCGGGCTGGACCTGCATGATATGGCTTGGATTTCTAACCCAGTGATAGCCTAGTCTCTAGTGAATTAATTTAGTCATATGAGAAGAAAGGAAAGTTGCTTAAAAGTAGTGGGAGAAGTAAGGTTGTAGTTAAATTATTCAGAGGATGCTAACTTCCTTCTGAGAGTAATTTAAGCACATAACATGAGGAAAACAATTCCAAGTGGTCTGATTTTCTTGCAGTAGCTTTCTCATTGCCCTCTGCTGCTGGAAACACTTTCTGCTAGCTTTGCTGCTCTAGTGGCTTGAGTGTTGGATCAGGTGCAAGCGCAGCCACAGGTAGCTAATAGCAGTGGAGTTAAGAACCTGTGTAGGAGGAAAGTACTTGTATGGCTTTTATATAACTTCTGGCACTGCTCCTTCATTGTTCTAACTGCATATAGGGCATTTTAAATTAAGGGGATGAGGCCTGGAGGATTTCCTAACATGCTACTTACTAGACATGTTTAGCTGTTATGTTCCCAGAGCTGGAATTTATGTAATATAGTTGGTAATTAAGCGTCACAGTTTATTGATCAGTTTTCTCTTCCAGGTTTTGGGAGCTCTGAAGTTACGTTACTGAGTAAAACTTTAATTTGTAGATACTGGCCAAAGAAAGCTTTTGGTTTTTCATTTCCTTTTCTTCATGCGAAAATACACTCACATTCTGTGGTGTCCAGGTTAATATTTACTTTAAAATAGTGTATGTACATGAAAATTTCAGGCATAAACACTGCAGTTGCAGTTAAGTTAGTCATAACTGCATGCTTCAGCACTCTGCTACTCGCACTGTGAGCAGAAGATAACATTTCACGATGCTGGTGCATTGTTGCTAAACATTGTAATGAAGGCCTCTCTTATATATATTCCAATTAAATGACTGTCCAGATAGCCTTAGCAATTAACAAACTAGCATGAGGCTTTGTATTTCAACACTCTATGTGCATAGACAATTTCAGCTAGCACTTGTATGTATGGAATCCGTAAGAACTTCTCAATCATTCAGTTCTCCATTTATCAAACTGAAATTTTTAGTATGTGAATTTTTGAAATGTACAGTGAATAGGATGTTGCACTGGTGGCAATTCATCATGGAGCATAATAAAATTAATTTGACCCAACTAGTGTAAAACTGTGTGGTTTGTAAGTGCTAATTGTGGCACAGCTTTTAAAATAGATGTGCATCTTGCTCATACGCTTTACAAGTGGCTTGGTTTGCCTCATCACGTTCACAAAGCAGTGAATAGTGACTGTCAAATTGCGGTAGTTTTGGCGTCTGGAAAGTTGGATTGTGCTAGTGAGTAAACACAATGAACAAGAATGTGACACCCTGTGCTCCTGACAGATCTCACAGCTGCTCACAGCTCCTCTGGAAGCAGCTACTGCTGGGGGAGCGCAATAATACAGCGACATTTCAAGGTCAAACAAACTTGGCTTTGTTAATCCCGCATGAGTACTAACTGGTTAACTCTTGTCAGTGTTGTGACTGTGACTTACAAGGTTTTTACAGATGTAAATCCTGGTCTAGTATGCTGCAGTGCTTGGGCTCGGGGTGCTTCAGCCTGCTTCCTCTTCTGAAGTACCTGAAGGGCACCTGGCATTTCACGTTTTTTATCTGGTGTGTGCTGTATTCTGAAGCTTATTGCTGCTCTGATGTTCAGCCTGCAAGTGGAGAGCAATTTGAAACTGTTACTTCTATATTAATTCAACACTCTGATTTTCTCTTCTCTCGGTAAACAAACTTTAAAAATGCTTTTAAAAAGAGGTGGTTATTTTTTTAAATAATTTTATTTGACAGTGGTTTACTTTCCTAAGTGAGACGTAGGTGAAGAGGAAAAAGGAGATGCTCTTTTGTTTTTAAAGCTGTTAGTGATCCTTTGCAACTGCCTCTATCTAATCGTTAGAGGAATTCCTGGTCTAATTAAAGCTCCCGAAGCTCAAGTACAGCGATAAGCAGCTTTATTTATAGAGAAGTGTAAATGGGGTAGGGAACTTAGACGATATCAAACCTCTCTGCAAAGGACCAGCGCTGTCCTCTCGCACTGCAGTGGGAACACCTCTTGCTCTGTGCTTTATCTATTGCCTAAGGTTTTCTTGTGAGCAAGAAGGGTAGAGCAATGTGAACCTTTCTCTACTGTTTGAAAGTGTGAAAATGTCTGTACAGTTAGAGAGGAGGCTTTGTATCAACAAACTGTTACAACACATCTAGTTTTTGCTCGAAAAAATAAACTGTTAGTTGGAACTCACAGATTTGGAAGTGTGAACACACTGAGAGAATGTTAAAATAGCGTCAGCGTGTCAGTATTAAAATCATTTTTTGACAAATTTCGTTTTGTGCTGAATTTCACAGTATTTGCAAAGCAAAATGTAGAGTGATTTATGAGAGCAGTGATTTATCCAGTATTCAGGTTCATACTCTGATGTAGTTTTGGCTAATATTTGCAGGACAGGTAATTCTAAACAGCTTTATACTTACTCTCAATGGAGAAGCTTGATATTTTGCATTTATTTTGTCATCTTTATTAGTGCTGGCAAACATGCATGCTTAAGGACTGTTTTGCTGATGCTCTGAGTTTTCAGTATCTTTGAGTGTAACTCCTAAGCTGTTATTTTGTTGTTTTTCCCTCCATGAACATTAATTGTTTCTTCTGAGTTTGTTATTCAAGCAGTACGTGTTTAAACTTGTTACTTGAAGATTAAATGGGGAAGGTTTTTATGTTTTTATATGTGCAGGCTGAGGGACACAATAGTACCTAAGTTTAAAGCTTGACCATAGGAAATACAATGCTTGTATCGCATATCAGACATGAAGCGTTTGCTTAAATGCAGTTGGCAGGCACTCAGAGTCAGCAGTTGGCTCTTCTGAATGTTGATGCTAAAAACCAGGCAACTACTGGAACAGCTGAGCTGGATTTGAAGCCCTCTGTTGAGAATTGGCCCTTTCCTGGGTGGTCAGGGTACCAGGTACACAGACTGCTCGAATGCTTGTGTCTTTTCCTTAACTCCTCACCCCCGTTTCACTGGATAATGAAAGCTGTGTGATTTTCTGGTAAGAATGGCCCTTTGAATGAAAACAGTGACTGTTGGATCAAGGCAAGAAATACCCTCGGCATGTGTAGTCCTTTGTCAGGGTTATGCCTGTTGAATTGTCAGCAGAAAATGTCTTTTTGTGTTCAAAATGAAATGGAAAAAGCGATTTAGACCCAGTTGACATTAAGCACGGAATGCTTTTTTTTGCTTTTAGTCTCTGGAGGATGATTTCAGGAGATTCAGGTTGGAAAAATTTCTTCTCCAGAAGAATGGTCAGACACTGTAATGGGCTGCCTGGGGAGGTGGATCACTGACACTGGAGGCGTTCAAGAAGCATTTAGATGTGGTACCAAGGAACGTGGGTTAGTGGGAAATATTGGTGGTGGTAGGTGGACAATTGGACTGGATGATCTTGGAGGTCTTTTCCAAGCTTGGTGGATCCTGTTGTTTGTGTTAGGACAAAAGGCGTTGTGCCCAAAGCAGAAAATATGCTGGCTATATACGTTCTCTTTCAAGGAGTGCATCAAGACTTAAGTTTTTACCTGCAGGTGCTGGAAAACCCCAGTCCTTGCAGTAGGCATTACTGAAACTTAGTTACTGTCCCCAAGATGTTTAAGGGTACTTCTGGAGACCAACTGAGCTACTCTGATATCAATTACATCAAACACTGGTTGTGCCTGAATTTGGCATCTTAAACCATGTCGATAGTGGAGTATCTGATATGAAAACAAATGTGAGGGCTGCTCCAAAAGTAGTGCTTCCTGTTTTATTATGTTGGCCCACAACGTCAGAGGAAGATAATACTGTTGGTACGGCAGTAGAGGTTGAACCTTTCCACCAGTATTGTGTGACGTTTTGCTGCCGTGTGACAGATGGCAGCAGAGGGGCAGTCTGGCAGAATGGTGTCTGATGTGGTGGAAGTGCGTATGAAGCAAGAACGTGTTGTTGAATTCCTCCATGTGGAAAAAATGGCACCCACTGACACTCATGGACACTGAATGTGGTGACCAGACTGTAGAAGAGAGCACAGTGAGGCAGCGGGTGGTGTGTTTCAGCAGTTGTAACAGTGATGTGAAAGACAAGCCACCTTCTGGACGGCCATGTACGAAGAGAACCTCAATCAGCTCATCCACGAGAATTGGCTAATGGTGATGACTGCATTGAAAAAGAGTGTTTTGTAGCTGAGAATTTGCTCTCAATATAGCACTCAAATAGTGTTACTGTGCTCTTTGCCTCTGTTGTACTTTCCATAGAAACGAAGAGGAGGCATTACTTTCAGTGACCCACCGAAATTGGTGCCAAGATCACATGAAAAAGAAAATATGACCACGTATTCTGATGTTCAGTGTGCTTTTGAAATGAAGATAATATTGATTAGTGCTCAGCATCACATCCCAGTCCTGTTATGTA